GCCGTAGAACATAACCTTGTCTCTTTTTCGAAAGCGATAATGTGGTACGCCTGTCTCCTCCTCTGAAACACACCAGCAATCCTTGTTCAGACTTTCATAATTGTTTTGTTTTCTGACGTCCGCTGGTCCTGATATTTGTGCTATACTCATGCGTCACGTGATGAGATTCCACATCCCAAAACTTCAACAACATGAACAAAATGACTTGCCGTTGTGTGCCATTCGTATTCTCACATGCAAAGAGGAATAAAACTCACATCGGCCACTTCTGAGAACTTTAAGGAGACATTATGCATTTTTTAATTCACAATTTGAAACAGTTCCCGTGTGTCCCAAAAACATCAATGTGACTTGAACAAGATTTATAGCACACCTGGCACCCTCATTTTTCATCTCTAACTGAACTCATCCTGTTGTGAGGGGGCAATCCTGTTTAATGCAAATAAGATACTGCTAAGCCCATACGTCTCGACTGCAGGGCCAATGCTTGTTACGATGACAACCAGGGCAGAGGCAAGCAATTGGCCTGGAGTATTAAGACAAAAAAAAAAAGCAAGCTGCCCTAAAGATGGTTATCATAAATCATTGTATTTTCACTCGAGGAGGAAACACAAGACAAGACAATGTTCGACTGTTCTGGTGATTAAAGCTAACGCTGTTTGCTAATGGTAAGTTGTTTTCACACTCCAGGTCTGCTTAAATGCTATCTTTGACATGGTCGTGCTTCCATGTAGTCTGCTGACTGGACTCCGACTATCGTTTGAAAATGGCAGATTTTTGCCCATTTTAACTGCCAAGTGCAATGTAAATTAGTCCCACTGTTCCGCCAAAATTCCGCCAAATTCAGAACAACCTTTATTTAGAGGGGTTGGCAGGCACTCCGTAGATTCAACTATTTGTGTGCCTGCAATTAAAAAGTCAATTTTCCATGAAATGTCTCCTTTTGGGTAAAGAAAACATGTTATGTGTGAATAATTCATCAGGTAAAATTATTTCCATGATATATAAATGAATGTCTGTGACATATTTTGTTAGAAAAAACACAGTATACATCACCGTTTTATTTTATTTATTTGCTTGTTTGTTTTTTACACCAGTTTGCAGATGATTTTGTGGATGTCTCATATGAGCTCATCCTGCTTCGCACGACCCTGATGATCAAGAGAAGGGCTCTTTTGAATCAGAATTTTACATTCAAAGAAACGTAACCTAACCATACATGTGGCAAGTACCTGAAATGTCTCACTTAAGAAGGGGTCTCAAAGTCAACTTATGTGGAGGTTGTAGGAGAGTCTGGGTGGTGGGTGTGTGTTGGGCTGCATTCAGAAATCCACAAATATGGGGTTCAAGTACTTTAGAAAAAGGGGCAACTAATCCAATCATTAAGAGTAACAATTCGTAGCATTGATAGCTCTTCAGAACGTTAAGATTGGTGACACGGTCCTCTCTCTTACCCTGGTACTTTGCATACCATTCAGCATGTCGACTTGAGTAATGCTGTCTGATTTCCTGAGGACTGGACCTTTCTCTGTGCACTCAAGATATGTCGGGGTCCCTCTGTGCTCATCAAAAAAAAAACCAACATTCCATCTTCTGTTTTTCTTGAAATTGGCTGTTCTCGTCATCAAACTTTTTCTTCACAGCAGGTTTTGAGAAACATATGACTGGGACTGGGTGACGGGATAGGTTTTCCTTTCATTTGGTGACACTCCAGAATTACAATTTGGTGAAAGCTGTCATGAGCCTGAGCTATCGTAGCCCATTGGTGATTTACAAAAAAAAAAAAAAAAAAGTTGTGGGCTGCACTAACATTAAACTTTGATGTCAAGTCGAGAGTTGCAAAATATCATCCTGCGGTGCTTAAAATGGTCCTTGAGCCGCAAGTTTAAGACCCCTCCACTTCAGCCACTACTGTGTCAAAGTCCCCAATATTGTCACAGTCAGGCCAAATTCGGAATTGCTTACAATACAGCTTTGCCTCAATAAAATTTTGCGCTGTTTTTCATTGTGTCAAAACCCCCAACTCATCATAGATGATTGTTCTAATATTTCTCCACTACGATCCACATTGGTAAACGAATGCGAATGTCTTCAAATATTGAGCTTTCAATTGACATTGATTGAAACAAAAAAGGAGGCAAGGTATACTGACTTGACAGCCTGTATCTTCTGTAGAGAAGGAACACGACACCTCCCACAAGGGAAACAACAGTCACAGCTCCAATGAGAAGAGCCGTCCACTAGAAGTAAACACATTCCAAAGAGACATTCAAACGCCTCTTTAAAGGGGAAGTCAACTCAAAGATTTTCTTAAGAAAAATGTTTTCTATGTTCTATTCTCAACACCGCATTTGCTCAGGGAACGACCAATCACTGTGTAGCTTGCGAACGTCACATAACCAAACTCAGAAAACAGGCGAGCTGTATTATCATTTTTACTTCTGCACCAAAATAAGTATTGGATTGACTGACAGGAGCAGAGACGTCTCTAAAAAGTCCAGTGAGACAAGAAGAAAACTTGCAACACGCTCTGTGAGTGTTTACCATGTTGGCCTCTGTGCGTTCCTCTATAATCTGCTGCATCTTGGCCTTGAGCTCACTTCCAAAAGGAGCCGGGCTCTGAAACAAAAAACACATGAGGAAATTGTAGGACTGCTGCATCCACATAAATGAATATCAAAAGATGCGTCTCGGCCCGACTCGGTTGAATTTTTTTTTTTCCAGAATTACGTGTTATCATGGCAACACAACTCCCCAAAAACTACACCAAAAAAAGTCCTACTGAAGATGAGTGGGAAGCAGTGTCAAAAGCGACCACATGACTCCCTTTTTATAAGACACATTGCATATAGGAACCAACACACGAGATTGTCATCTCATTTTGTTGACACTCTTGCCATCTTTATTTCAGTGAAAATGTACACTGGCCATACAGTGCATGTTTAAAGAGGGTGAGTGAAATATCACCCACCAAAAACACACACACAATTAATATTAGTGTGTATTGCACCGATCAGACTGAGGCAAAGTATGACATCTCCGAATGTTTTAGTAAAGGAAAACTGATAACCATTGAGCAGAGATGGCAGAGCGTGACTCTGTTCGGCTAATTGATATATCGAGATTTTTTTCCAAATTTCAAAATGAAGTCACACATTTAGATTGTTTTATACATTTATATTTCGTAGTTGTTTGTAATTAGTTGAGTGAAAGAGTTTCCTTTTCATTGACAACAAAGCCTTTGCAAATGAGGCGTTTGGACTTGAAGAGGCATCAGTCCTATTCAAAATGTCCATGGACATTTCAAAGTTTCATTATATATCCATGAAGTAACATAATCTTGAAATATGAATTTGACATATGAAAGGAAGGCACTGGCTGTGTATTTTCAGATATATGTGATCAGAACTTTGCAACACAATTCATCACAAAGACAGTGAAGACAATACTTGAGCTCAGACAATGACAAGAAATCAACAGGGCGCTGAAGGACGTACCGGATATATACTGCAAGTCTCGTCTTGGTTGTTGTTTTCCATGTCTGACTGAAGTTTAGACAACAGCACAAGGCAACCCCTAGGCGTGATATAATTGGGAAATATCAGGATGTTGAATTAATATTTGAAAACTTTATTGCACGTATGTTTTTGTTTTATTTTTGTAAATGAGAGGAAGCCTCATATATATCAGGATCACTTTAAGTCAGGTAAACAATCCAATGTGGGCTAAAGATCACCTTTCCTAAGAAAAAAATTGGTCAACCATTATCTCAGCCCACTGCGAGTACTGTAACCATATACTGTACTCCAGAGACACTGACACCCTCTACTGGACTGTCGTACGAGCTGTAATCACTCTGAAATTGGTCAAAGGGCAAACAGAATTTCCAAACATTGCTTATCTGTTGTTCGTATAGACTTGATCGGGACAGTCCTTTCGCATTTAAGTCCATTTCAAAACTAATTTGATTGTTTTATTGAAGAAGAGAAGAGAAAAAAATATCCTAATTGTGATGATTTCATTTTTCGTGTCATGACCTTGCTATATTAACAATAATAATAATAATAAACAGCATAGACCAGCATGATTTTGTTTCGTGCTGGTCTTGCAGGCCACAAGCAAGAGCAAAACAAAAGAGTCAAGATGAGAACAGCTGAACCATCGGACACTGTTCAGCCTGCTCTATGAGCTGAGCTTCAGCCGCCCAACAAGAGGAGCATGTTGTTGTGGCCCAGCCAGGAGCTGGTGACCTGCTTGCTGGTGTCACCCAGTTTCCAGCAGGGAAAAAACAGCGAGAGATCTACCGTTTAAAGTGGACTTTTGTGAGTCAGAAAATTAAATCCGATTTGGTTGCGGACAAATACTCAGTAGATAGCCCGTTGTGAACTTTTGAATACTACAAATAACTTCAAGAACGCAATTCAAATATTCAGTTCAGTTATGAATTGCACGCAAACGGGACATTGTTGTATTTAGAAATCCGCGAAAATACTTCGCCTGAAGTTAAAAGTTAATTTCAAGGCATGCCAATGCCTCAGTTTACTCTGTGGATTCCGCCCCTGTGATATGCAACAAAATCAGACATAAAAGTATTTGAAAAGAAAAAAAGTTCAGCTTCAAACACCAGCCCGCTATTAATAATAACATATGCGTAGACGCAGAAGTTATTTTCTCACGTACCCGTTTCTGCTTTTGTGAATGCATGTGTTGAATAACGTTAAAACTAATTCGTGATAACAATTGGCATATCCTACATTACCCATCAAAATAAAATTCATATTTGCAAAACGACCCTCTTTCGATGGTCCAAATTTGAATAAAAATAAATAAAATTACATTTACTTTTCTTTGTGTTCGCAATACTGTTAATGAACAATGAGCTTCTTTTTTTTGCTCAAAATTATGTAAAATGTATTATTTTTAAGGTGGATGTGCCGGAGGTTATGGTTCTTTTCATGTTCCTAAATATGGTGCCGAGACAAACACTGCTGCGCCAGTACCGTGGATTCTAATTGGACCACGGTGTCGCCTTTCAGCAAATAGACATACGCCTTGTTTAACTGCCGTTCACATTATTTTCACAGAAACCCGTGTTCAAGGTGAGATGAGTCAGTTGTTTTATACTTTGATTAAAACGCTTACAGTATTGAGATACAATCTTTAGATACTCTGTGTACGGTGTCATCCATTATTAGAGTAAATGACCAGCAAGTAATGCAACCCATATTTCTGCAAAACGGTATCATATCAAGCTAGCCAGCTAAAGACAGCAGCGGTTTGAACGATAAGGCAAACCAACATTTGTTTAGCGCGTCTACGTGCATCGTTTTTAGTCCGAGATTGGCGTTAATTTCCAGTTTAATTATTCTGAAGATTAAAAGACTGTAAATTAAATGACCATGCATTTTGCAGTCACACCTGTGCTGGTCTGTCTCTTCTACACGGACTACTAGTATTGCTGAATTTTTATGAACAGTGAATATTGTTTTTGCATTTCGTCCATTCGCTGCACACCTGTGGTCGTGAGAGATCATCGGAGCCGATGGAAGTGATCACATTTTACTGAATTACTCGTGTGGATTATCAATTACAAATTATATTTTAGTTCATTTGTCTATGCCAGAAACGTGGAGTGAGAGGCCGAACGCTCCGTAAAATGGCTTTTAATAAATTGTCATTCACACAACAAAATAAGTCATGTCTTCCTACGCCTATATCAACGTTCACGTCGAGTTCGTCAATATTTGAGGAAACTAAAATGAGATATTTAGTATTCATATGTTTGTTTGTCGGTGTGCCACAAGATTTTTCTTCAGTAAAATTGGTGCCTTGACTCAAAGTTTGTGAAACACTACCTGTAAGCTGTCTCCTATAGTCGTTGATTTCTTCCATTTTTCTAGGTTTGCAAGAAAAGAATATACCGTTGTGGCACAATGGGCGTCTTGTCTACACTGATAAGAGGCCTGACAAGAGGAGCGGATAGAATGTCGGAATTCACCAGCAAGCGAGGTTCAAGGACTCACAATAAAGGCAGAGGTGCAAGACCAGCTGGAGTGATGCTCTCCAGCAGAAAGTTTCTGGCAAGACAGGCCATGATTCCTGAGTTTGTGGTACCCACTCTGGACGGCTTTAAACTCAAACCCTATGTATCATACCGCTGCCCAGCAGGAACTGAGCCTCCAGTGACTGCAGAGAGCCTATTTGCTGAAGTGGTGGCTCCTCAGATCAAGAAAGACTTTAATGAAGGGATTTTTGACAAAGAGCGACTGGAGAAATATGGATATGAATCCACACAGGAGGGGAAGTTGTTTAAATTGTATCCCAAGAACTATGTGCGTTAAAATGAACTTAACATCTGTGATAAATCTATTTGCAAGGGAAGACTTCTGATGTGCACTGGCGACAGTGGCTGGAGAACCTTTGAAGTGACACCATGTTGCAAGCTGGACGTAATATTTTTATAATCGCTCTCGCTCTCTCCTAATCAAGTACAATAAAACTGAAATGAACTGAACAGTCTGGTACGATAAGTACTAGATAAGTGTCATGAACCTACTGCATTTGATCACACTTCGTCACCAATTACAAATACTACATTTGTGTGCCTCTGTTTACAACTGACAGGTAATCACACACATTTTAAAACACTAATAATTGGTAAACTTGCTGAGTTATGTCATTTTGAAATGTGTGAGTTGCAAGTTAGTTACAGGCTATGGCATTGACACTTTGGTGATGACCATATGTGAGGTAAGCAATTTGCAGTTCAAGTTTCCTTTGAAACACCCTGCATTCTTTATTTTTGGGCTCTCTAATTGCAAAACGAGCATTTTGCGAACTTCCTCCAGGTACAAATGTACAAGCAGGTCACGTGCAAAATTACACTCAAATTTGTCTGTTGTGAATGACTATATGAATCAAAAATGATTTCTATTGTCCTATGTTCATGTTTTTTATTTTAAATTAATTCTGGTAGAACAAAGAGAAATTGTGTACTGAAATTTCTTGCAATGCCATTGAGGAGCATTTCACAGAACAGTACTCCAGTTGCGATCAGACAAAGTACCCATGAAAAAGTCAGTCGACAGGAACCCAAATTGTCCATGTTATTGTGGAACTGTACATTATACACCATATATATCCAAATAATAGTCAGCTCAATTCTCATAGTATGGTCAACACTGATCTTTTGCTAACTGTGCCTCAACTGGCGCCCAGTCCCACCGCCACAAGTGAAGCATATGATCATAAAATGAGCAACTTGCAAGGAGAAATGACAATGAAGAGGCATCATCATCCGGCGTGACTGTGTCGCCTGCATGAGAGGTGGTCGATGGCGGCGCAATGCCCTCTGGGATGTATTGGCCACAATCGTCCTCGAGGGAAGTGTCAAAGCTGGCAGTGGGAGATTCGTACTGGATCCGCAAGTGTCCTCCACTGTCTGTGAGGCATTCCGTTGGTTCTGCTGTAGGAGGGGAGAGAGGAGCAGGTTCCTCCAGGGACAGTCGAGACCAGTCGGCCCCGTAGGCCAGTGAGTTGTGGAGGATGTAGGATGCGACAACTGGACAAGCTCCTTCATTGGACTCTGGAAGAAAACGAGGCACAAGGTTTTTCAGAGAATGTCAATTTCTCACAAAGCCATTTCATGGACTGCGTGAACATCAACTATTGTTATTTGCAAGACTTGCTTTCATATTCTTCACCACTTAAAGTGGTTACTGACTTGTAGATTGAACAGTTTCGGTGGAAACGATCAGCAACACCACCCAGACTTGCACGAAAGCTCATGTCTGTCACTACAATTTGAGTAGCAGTAACACAGCAAAACCAAGACTTACATGTAATCAACAATTAAAAAAAAAGTTATTTGCTACTAAGGGCTGCACCTATCAAATATTTTTAGAATATATTTTATCGATCATTCCGTTGAATACGCTCATTAAAAAACAGTATTCAAATGTCCAAATGTTTTTCTCTGATTACTGTTTATTAATTGATTACTGTTTTTTATTTGAATATTTAATGTCAATTATTGGTTATTCACACTACAGCTGCAAATAACGATTATTTTTGTAACAGATGAATTATTTTCTCCCCATGAATTTATTATGATTCAGGTGCTGATTTGGTGAGTAAACATGTCAGGAAATAGGGAAAAATATTGATCATTGTTTTACAAAGTAAAAGCACCGGTAGATGTTTGCAAATGTCTTGTGATTAAACACACACATAATCTGCTTTCGTGAGGGACTACAGAAATCAGAGATAATTTACTTTCGAGAGGCTGAAATCAGCAGATTTGGCCATTTTTAATTCTATCGATGATTTAGAAATAAAGTCAAGAATGTGTTCCATCCCCTTGGCTCCCCCGGTGCGGAACGTACGCTTCTACTCACCCACAGCCTGTTGACAATGAAGAATGTGGAAGTCATTGTGCATGCACGCTGCCAGCAGCAGATGCTGTTGAGTCGGATGCCACTTGAGCCGCCACACCCCGCCGCCTAACAGACTCTCACTGAAAGGCTCTCGCATATTTCTGCCATCCCACAGCAGAACCTTCTCATCATAGCTGTGGGAGAAAAAAATACAAGTCAAAACCAACCCACAATGCAAACCTATGCTATGACCCAATTATTAACTGAAGTTTACCTGCCAGTAGCCAGAATGTATTCCCGATGTGGGTTGCTGTGAATGCTGCACACACCCATTGAGTGCCTTTGTGAAAAATGACATGTAAATGTTGGGTTTTTGCTTCATCAAAATGGACAGGGAGATTGATTACCTTTTACTGATGAAAGTGGGTTTGGAGGGACCGATCCTGAGGTCCCAGCCTTTAAGCTTACAGTCATCTCCACCTGGCGAAACACATGCATACGGGATTCAATTTAAGTCAAATAACAGTTACACTTCACAACTCTGCAGATGCAAAATCGTGACGGGCCCATCCCAAGCCCGTCTCCCCCACTTCTTCCACCCCCGATGCACATGGATATTTGGAATGCTTGTAGATATTGCTTATGTATTATGTTGAATGTGGAAAAACTGTAGATCCAGCAAAATGTCAATATTGTCTTCATGTGACCAAATGGATTTGAGAAATCTGAAAACAAACTTAAAAAACAGGCGGTTGGTTAGCTGTACTAAATATGAGTCAATGTAATCAAGTCGTTTTGGTATCAAATACTGCCCCAAATAGACCACACTCAGCAAAACACTGAATGTATATTCACTACACTGCTAGCCTGCGGAAACTCAATACTCGGTCCTTGGACCTTGATGAGTGTTTACAGCAGTTAAGACGCTCCTTAAAAACGGAGATGTGAGAACAACTTCCGGGTCGCTTTCGATGCTTTGAGGAGCGAGGAACATTGCAACACTGTTTTCTTTTCCATTTTTACAATTTTACTTACCTTTACTTCCTGTCAATAACATGTGAGATGGGCCCATCGGGTCAATTTGAGGTGTGTCAGAAAAGTTCCAGGACCGGCCGATGGCTCAAAAGACACATTTCAAATCCAAACCATGCCAGAACCATCTTGATGTCATCCATGTCTTCAAAATAGGTCGCCTTGATGACCCCCTTTTCACTCACATGGAGCCATGTCAGTCGAGTCGGGTAGTTGGGACTAACACGACGATGCTCATGTCAGCCAGAAGCTGTCAACAAACAGGGCATCGACAGCAGGCACGTTGTCGAGGTGAAGCAGCCACGAGTTGTCCGGCCACAACTCTTCACCTCTTGTGCAATGAATGAAACAAACACGGCAGGATCTCTTATTGAACTGGTTGTTCGTTTGGCCCACATTGACTGGGAAAACTCATTTTGGCTTTGAAATGTGTCATCAGTCCTGGAACTTATATGACACGCCGCAAATGGCATTTTCATTTGACCATATTGGAATATAATTCTCCTGTAGGAGAGCAGCTCTCTATGTTTTCAGCAAGTGCAGAATTTGAAATTACATGGTAATTCAGATTAACACCGGGTCATTTTGATCGTTTTTCAAAAATGACACCTAACGTGCTTGCCACACTCATTCCTTGCCAAAAATCGGTCTTTAATTTACCAGAGATGAAAGTGGACTTTTCTGAAAATTCCGGAGAAAAAAAAAAAAAAATTATAT